ACTCATTTTTGGCCTTATGAGCAGGCTATGATGGATCTACTGTACACCTCTTCTGCACACACACGTGCTCACACATACACACACACACACACACACACGCATACAAAAAAAAAAAGCAGAATGGACTGTTACTGCTGCAAAAAATGCTCAGTGAAACAAGTCAGGCTGGAACTCAGAAGTGTACTTCCCTTAAACCTATGTTGAAAGATTTATTGGCCACCTGGGGCAGTGCAGCAAGCAGCAGAGAAAACACTGACATATTATCATCCTATGAAGGTGATATAGCAAACACTCACATTTGGAGGTCAGGTGGAGATTCTCTCCACCCGATGAAGATTAGTCCAACAGATTTTATTTGCAACAGAATTATTTTGGTGGTCCATCAAGCACCACACTCTTAAGGTGGCCTGGTGTGTCCCAAAGATTTCAGTGTTCCTTTACTGAACTTACAAGACAACTTAGTTAGTTATGGACAATTACATATTAGTCACACACCAGCTGCAAAATTCTTTGGTAAGTGGAAGTCGTCCCGTTTACAAAAATTGATCCATTTGTGTCGACTGGTCCCAGTTTTGGTGGTGCTTGATACAAAAAGATGAAAAATCAAAAAAGTTTTTTAAACACAAACTTTGGTGGTGCTTGAGTAAGTAACACTGACGGGTGCACGGTTGTGGCTGAGAACAAGGTGAAGGAAATGCCGCCACTCACACTGGAATATTCTTGTATTTTAATATGGGACAAAAAAGCCGTCATCAGCGTTTTGCTTGATGCAAAAATGCTTGAGGCATCTAAACTGGAACATGTGCACCACGTTACCTGTCGGCTGAACATAATGTTCAAATTCCAGTCTTTCAAATTCCAGTGTTGAGCTTTAGTCACACTGCCTCTTTTGGGGCACTGCTTTTCTCCGTTATGTATTGTCTTATGCTAAGAGAGTAGCCGAACGAGTGAATAATTACATGAAAAAAAACACTCAAAACTTCAAACCCCTGACCTTAAAGCTGCTATAATCAATATTTTTATTTTATCAATGGGTCACATTACAAAGTGTGAGAGTTTTCTTGTGGCCAAAACAACTAATTATTTTATCCCAGGGACGGACTTCTTAAGATTTATATGATTTTAAGACTAAATAACTAAATTAAATGATTTAACATTATTATTATTTGTACTTTTTCACTTCACCTTCAAGCATAGACTGTTGTAATATTCAACACACAGTGACAGATCTATGTACAGAACAATACAACCAAAGCCCATGAGGCAACTGTGGCACATAGCCCAAGATTTTACCTTCCACTAACTGAGGACCTGGAGATCCGGCCCTCAGGTGACATGACTTGGCCTCATCCTGGCGTTTCCTGCCGTGGATATCCTGAGAAATGCATGTAAGAGAGAGAGAGAACAGAGCAGAGACAGACCATGGGTCGAGTTTCTAAACAGCAGCATGAACTGACCTTTGTTAGATACCAACAGAGCAGCAGCCTGGAGTCACAATAATTCTCTTCCTCTTTCCATCAGCTTCATCAGATACTTTATTCATTTCTTGGAAACTCTTCGCCCCATGCTTTGAATAATAATCAGCTTTTTTTTTGGGGGGGGGGGACCACATGAATCCATTTCAGTTCATATGTAAATAATCTGATGTAAACACATAAATAGCATCAAGATAAGATAGAAATTCCTCTCTCTCAGCAGCACAACTAAGGGACTTTGTTGATCAGGGATTTCACTTTTTATCATCTGGTAGATGCTTTGTTTAAGCACACATCATGCAGCATTAAACATCAATGCAGTCTTAGTCTCCCTTAAGCAAAGAAGCTCACAACTCACAGCAACTCAAACAGGTTGGGACCGAGACTCCACACATCATCTTTTTATATTTTTAGGAAGACATCATATTGCACTGTGAACAACCTCTCACTTGTAACAGCATAACATACATACAGTATCTGGGCTTACTGCTGACTCCACACGTCTGGACGGGCTTGCTGCACTCTATAATACAGTACAGGACAAATATATGGCATGTGAGATTTTACATACTGAAATGGACTATACATCGTCAGTTGGACCCCAAGTTTTATATCTCCACTTCTCTTCCAAAGACATGTTTTGGCAAAGCGGTTATCTTGATAGTCAGTGTGATAGAAGTTCAAGGACCCAAAGTTTAATCTGCTCCAAAATAATGTACTTGTATCACAACACACATTTTCTTACAAGAATACATTTGATACCGTATCATCATCTTCACTCCCTCGGTTTTCTTCATTAATCAAAGAACAAGCTACATAACTCCTCATAATATCGTACACAGTGCTTCTTTTTCCACATCACTCTTAAAAGGATAGGCTCAGATTTTTTTTTAGTCTAGCAGGTAAAATGTTCACTATCTCAGTTTAGCATTTTAGGCCGTTTTATATTCACTAATTAGCAGTGAACACAAAGTACATCTAATGGGAACATCATTAGTTTTGCACATATTAAAATGTTGTCCCGATGATGGTGCTAGATGAAAAGCTCAGGGATCACCAAACTTATTATGAACAATTGATCCTAAAGGCAACATGAATGTCTGAACCAAATTTTACGGCAATCCATCCGATGGCTCTTGAGACATTTCATTCAAAACCACAAATGTCAACCACATGTTGGCGCTAGAGGAAAAGGCAGAGGAGGAAACGTCAGGAGGGTTCATCCTCTGGACACCGTGGACATCTGTATCAAATCTGATGTCGATCCCTCCAACAGTTGACATATTTCAGTCTGGAAAGATGTAAAAATGTGAACCTATCCTTTAAGAACTTAACCTTTGATTTTGGCACATTATATACATAGACTTCACCCTGAGGATCATCATCACCACCCATTTGTTCACCTCCACAATAATAAGAGACATTGTTAATATTACTAACAATATCATAAACTACATTAGCAACACTTGAAAAACTGTTTTGGACAAAATTAGACAATATCTTCATTTGACAGAAGATACTACACAGCAGCTCACCACTGTATAGGCGATATGCTTTCATAGCTGCTCTGTGATTTGATGCCCAAATTAGAGAGAATATAAAAACATAAAAAATATTTTTAGGGACTAACACCGGGCAACAGTGGTATTTTGAAATTAAATAGCATTATGGCATTTCCATCCACTTCTTTACACTTCACAAAGCCAGCACGGATAAATATTGACAAGCATGTACGATACAGCTCCTCTCCTGTTCAGTGCATATACACTCATTGTTTTTTTTTTTTCTTTATACATTGTCCAATGAGCTCCTTTATTCGCTTATTGGCAGTGTCGAGTCATTTTTAAATTGGTCAGTCCATCAGCCCCAGGTTGGGTGGGTATCCATTCCACTGGGATGAAACATGAAGGCATCGAAAAGCACAGGAGGCCGAACACAAGCACAACTGAACTCAACTGCTGTGGTAAAATCTCTGTGTAGGTTCATCTCATTCATCCAAGTAGTAAAATGTTAGGTTGAAACTAAACTATCCACTGGACTGAAGCAAAAACATGTTCGGTTCTTCAATGACTTTCCAGTGAATAGTTTAACCTCAGTTTGTCAGGCTGGTTGCAGAGCAGGGGCTCTGCTGCACATAGTTAACTTTGTGGCATAAGAAGAGGCAAAGGGCTACACTCCCAGAGTAAATTAAGACACATAATATGAAGTGATTTTAAAGAAAACAAAACTGAAAGAGGGGAAAGAAGGGCAACTCAAATAAAACATGCAGACTGAAACAGGGTTTAAGGGTTTTCATGAAAATCTTGTCTTTTGTTAGATGTTGTGTGGTTGTGCTGTCTACTAGCATCAGCATTTTTGCTACATAATGCTAATCTTTTGTCTCATCAGTCTCACATACACATGCACGCACACACACATCAGTCAGACAGGATGCACCGTTTCCCACTGAGAGACAGAATTTATGCCCCTCAGGCTGCAGTATCTTGTGTGTACTGAAGATATTGTTTTAGAGAGGTAGCTACAGAACAGTGCAGCAGTGTGAAGTAGTTTTAGGTGAATATCAGGTTCAGAAAATGGTTTGATTCACACCTGCTTTGCCTTTACACTCAATCCTTTCTGTGATTTTTCACTAAGAAGTTGTGAAATTCCTCCGTCTGACCCTAGAGGGAGCTACAACTGTGTTTCACTGACAAAATGACAGGAGCTGATCCCTGAATTTCTGATGATACAGAAGTGTCAAATGACAGATGGCAGTAATGAACATAAAGACTTTGACTAATTTTAAATCTCTCATTAATTTCTTAACGTTGGTGTCATTGATGTTTTGATTTTGCCTTTTGCGTAATTAGAAAAAAAAAAGCATCTACTGAACATGACAGTCATATAGACAGACTAATAAAAGTTCAGGTATCAAACGCTGTGTGGGGTGACTCTCCTACACACACCTATACATGTACTCACATGCAAACACACACCTGTCACAAACACCTATACAGCTGTAGAGATAACAACCCACAGTTTCAGTTTTCTCAAAATCAAATGTGTCAGTGTGTTGGGTTCTCATTTAATGCACTGATCCTTGCTCTTTGGTCTCACACTAAGGATGGGACTCATGGCATAGACACACACACACACACACACACACACACACACACACACACACACACCCACACAGATACATATACACACTCCCAGAGAAACTAGCACGGTCTTACAGGGCCTGGGTTTGCTTGCGTTCCCAATGAGCTGAGACCACAGAGAATATTGTCTGGCTAGGCTGCCTCCGCTCCTGCCAGAATCTGTGTGTATGTGTGTGTGTGTGTTCGGCGCGTATGTGTGTGTGTGTGTTCAGAAACGAATGGCCACTGACCACAGGTGTGTATATATGCATGTGTGTGCATGTCCTCTCACTAGTATGTGTCTGTATGAATACTTGGGCATGGTTGTGTGCATTTGTATGCATGTGCATGTGTGTAGGAGAGTGTGTGTGTGCGTGTGTGTGTGTGTGTGTGTGTGTGTGTGTGTGTGTGTGTGTGTGAAGGAGTGTGACCTACAGCTGTGATGTGGATCACCAGTATCCACTGCTGTGAATAAGAAGGATAAATAATCCAAGGTGCTCTCTGTTAGCTGTTTGGTACTGGAGCCAAATGAATGCGAACGGAGCATCAAACCAAGTGGTCCCACAGCAGGCCCAATTTGCCAGCATTCAAAGTGGCTTGACCCCAACCACCTGACATGACTGCAATCATTCAGTGAGACTGGAGAACATTGGGTCTCCCAAGAGGCTGGGTAGTTTTCCTCCTTCCAGATTTCAGAGCTGCTGCACAGACCTAAGACTACACCGCCAATCCATCGGCACATAGACACAGTGACAGTGACCCCCCTGAAAACAATCAAGCATTGACATCCAGTCTAATCAAGGGTAAGCCTGCTGAATCAGCCATACCACAGAAATGGTGTGACTCATGGAAACAGACGTGAGGGAATGAGAGAAAAGGTGAATGGAAAAATCTGAACAAAAGAAATGATGATTATTTTGGTTTGGATAGCTGTGGGAGAGTGAAGGCTATTCCCTCGCAGACACTCTGGATGTTGGCTTGTACGTGTGTCTGCTGCCTATGTGTGGGTTCTGTTGCACTTGTGTTGATTCTGTTGCATATCCAGTGTGTTTGTGTAAGCCAGCTCCTGTTCTCCAGGTGGTACGTCGTAGGCTCCTGCAGGGAGAGTGTGAACGCTGCGGATCACCTCCTCGGCTTTTTCTCTCCACTTGTCTCAGAACCTGGTGCTCTCATGTTTCAGCATGCGGATGTTGGTAAGCGTGCCGCTGCCCCTGTGGTGGTACCCGTAAGCCTGGCGCTGCCCCTCCAGTCACCGGGCGCTGCTGCCTGCTGACGACATGCTGCTGCTGGGACTGGAGCTGCCCGAGCCCCGGTCTTCAAAGACACTGATCTCTAGCTGAGGACACAAAGAATGTCAAGGATCATCATGGCAGAGAGAGAGGATTAAAATACAGGATTGAAGTACTGAAGGATCCCTATGGGGGTTACAGTTCCACATTTCACAGTCACATCCATTCTCGGCTCAAATGCATGGAGCTGGAGCAAGCTACAAGGAATTTCAAAACCTAGAAGTTTATGTGGTGCTGTTGAGTGTTAGCATGTTGATGTGGGGGTGCACAGCCTAAACAACTGATCTCACATGAGGTGTACTAATGAGATTTTTCTACTTGGAGAGATCAGTGACGGTCGTGAATGATTACAATATTCAAGAGCACACAAAAATCTGTGTGTGCCTGTGTGTCTGCTGCTTTCTTCCTTCCCTATGGTTTCCTTCTGCTTTCTCATCAGATACCGCTAATCTCCCGTCTCAGGCTCGTCTCCAAACACAACTGCATCGTGTTTTTGGCTACGATAAAACCAAACATGTTGGAAAAGCTCATGACAAGGTCAAGGTATTTCTCAATGCCGAGCAAACTAGACGTGCAGATTCACCTTTTCAAGGGATTTTTGACTCAAATCTCAAAAACGTGTCTGGGACAAATCATGGCAATTATCTGCACTCGGCTTTAGCTGCACCCAAGTTGGACCAGCAACCCTAACCTGATGAACCGCAATATGATGGGCAACAAGACGAGTTTCAAAACACAAATTCATTCATTCAAATCAGTCCTTAGTAATAAAAACATTATGAAGTTCATCATGGAAACAACAAAAAAAAAATGACAAGTGAGACATGTTATGCTGCTCTTTGGGAGAATGAGGTTTTTAACTGGCTTTTACAAACAGAGACCATATTGTATAGGAGTGTATTGACTAATAAGTGTTGGTAATAGGTTGGCCCTGTGACTTGGAGCCTGTTCTTTGAGCCGGTCTGGGCCAGGCCTTTGTGATGGTCCACTGGACACATTCTCTCTCTCCTTCTGCCTCTTAACTGCACGAGGAACTGTGCTGGGATCTCTCCGATTGACAAAGAGTGACACGCTTGTGGCCGCTTCTGAAAACGTAGCGACTCAACTACATGAACATACGATGAGCCACCTGAAGAGTCAGAAGGGCGAGTTAGACACTGTAATGTAACATCTAATTTTGAAATGATAAAACGGAACTGGATGGCTTAAACAAACATAACTCAGCACTGCATGTGCATGCACGCCTGCTGATTCACCACATCATACTATCTTTTTCACCTTTTGCTCTTAGGACATTTGATGGAGCCTGCATGCTTTTTTTCAGCCCCTGACCTGCTTCAAATTTACTCCTGGGAATGATAGTTGGCCATTACACAGCTTCTCTGCAGCAGCTGGAGTTTAAGTGCCTTGTTCAAGGGCATCTTGATGGTAATTTATGAGGAGGAGAAGGTATTTGTTATTAATTTATCCAACCCAGATGTTTCAGTACTTCAGTGAACAGGTGACTTCCACTCATGAAGTCTGGTTTCTGGAACCTCTAAATAACTGCCACCTCCGATCAGTCGTCTTTATGTCAGACTATTCTGTACGGGCCTTCGTCCTCAATCTATTTGTTACGCACACAAACACAGAGAGCAGCAGCAGATGAGTAAAGGATACAACCCTCATTCCTCTCTCTATGGGGTCTGTGAGCAGCAGACCTCGAGGAGCGTAGATCTTCTCATTCTGCTCCTGGATGTAGCCTGATATCTTCCTCAGCACCTGGAATGAAACAGGAGAGCAGAGAGGGGTTAGACAGGGACAGAGGTACATTTGGAAATCAAATTTGGCATCATGAGAATCTGAAACATGAGCAAAACAATAGCAGAAAATAATCCCAACGGACCTTTCAACTGGGGATCCATTACCTGCATATTACTTTTCAAAGTGCGCTCAGTGGTACATGTAATAACCTTGAACCTAAAAGAGGCTAAACACGGGCAGGGTGGCAGCAACTTTAACCTTCTCCTGTGCTGTCTTGGGTGGAAAAAATGAAAAATGGAAGAAATGAGTTTGCAGTCCTTCTGTGCATAGTTAGCATACAGCATATGATACTGACTCTCGAGTCATTGCCCGTCCTTATTTTTCCTGAACATTATAATCTAAACTCAAAGTAATTCCATTATGCTCTAAGTACAGCAGTTATTTTTATACATGGTTCCAAGCCACTCATGTCAAGCAAGGCTGTATGAATTGAATTACTAAAATTGACGAGCATGAGCTTTTCTCTTTTTGAAGTTTTCCATTTGGAAGCTTTAGTTCCTAATTCCAAAGATGGCTCTCTCAGGCTAAATGTCATGCCTTGGTTAACTGTCGGGGCAATTTGGAACCACTCTAAAATGTGAGGTGGACAGTTTATTTAGATTGCATTGGCACTGGACTTATTTCTCAGTTTTGCAAGTGAGTATTGCATCAACTGTGCAAAAACCACATAGCAGAAGTGGAGTGAAGCTGAGCACCAAGTTCAGACCATGCCTTGGCACACAAATTCAAACAAGCATGCTTGTATACATTCTGTTACCCACTACAACTACACACACAGTTTACCCAGGAGACAGGAAGACTGTTTAATAAAACCTAAGCACTGTGATGTAGTCCCAGGTTGCAGCTGATAGCAACCAAATGACTGCTGACTGATCGCCATTCATGCTAAATGGACAGCTATTAGCTAAAGTGGCATCATTAGAGCAGCTTATTCAGCCTCAGCTATGCCTCTGTGGACACCAACAATGCTGATGCGCCATGCCTCTGCTAAACTCTGCCTAACCATGTCAATCAGCTGAACCGCGCTCCACCGGGCCTCATGTACACTGAGAAGGCTGTCAGCACTCCTAAGAAGGAGGTGCAGTCTTTAGCACATCTGCGTCTCCATGCTGAAACAACACACATTTGTATCACTTAAAGAAAGAATTAAAGCATCACATACTGTATTCTGTACTGTATATTAAAGATTAACTTACAACTGTGGTTTTATTTTCACAATTGTTTCGAGGCAGATGGCCACCCAACCTAAATCCGGTTCCGCTTGAGGTTTCTGCCTCTTAAAATGAAGTTTGCCACTGTCGCCAAGTGCTTGCTCATGGTGGGAATTGTTGGGTCTCTGTAATCAATGTTATAAAGAGTACAGTCTAGACCTGTTCTAATTGAAAAGTGCCTTGAGATAACATCTGTTGTGATTTGGCGCTATATAAATAAAATTGACTTGAGTTTCTATTTACCAAGGCCATTGCTGAGATATTGCTAAAACAAAGTCCAGTTGGGTGAGAAACATCCAGACAATCAGACAAGTTGTAAACAGACAAACCACTTAGCCACATTATTAACAATAATATGGCTAAGTGGTGTGGATCCAAGTAGTAACAAATTAAAATTTTCCTGCTGTATTAGGATGGCACCCTTTTATGAGTATTCCTTAACTGATTTATTGAACATGACAGATTCACATCCTCTTTTGGAAGTTAACTAAAGGTCACTGCAGCACTCAGCCTTGAGAGATTAAAACAATAGAGAGTGAGCAACACACTGAGCAGCGCTCCTCTGGGATGTCAAAGGCCTGTTACAGCTGCAGGCACAGCTGCTAATATATTGACCCCTGCTAGTGGAGACTAAACCACAGAAGAATACTTCTTTCTGTCTCCCACTGGAAGAAGAAGAAGAGACTTTTGCAACAAAAAGTCTGGAAAATGTTACAATCTGGGAACAAACAGGAGATGAAATTTCTCAGTGAAAGGCCACAGAAGAAGCCATCTAAAGGCAGTGGTTTGCTCCAATGTCCTGCTTTAAATCAGTCTATGTCAAGTATGCCCAAGCAGAGAGCAATCAATATTTGGCTTGGAACATTGACAATATATCCACAAATTCTTAACACTATATAAACTGTATCTTTTGTTAAAAACGCCATCAAATAGAATCAAACAGAGCGGAGCCCTGACTAATAGGTTTATTGTGGCGCAGAGAAAAGGCCAATCATTCCACTGCTAGCGAGCTCTCAGGGCAGCTCAATCCTCTTCAGTGTAACAATATGACAGTCAAGAATCCAAGCAGCGCCTCTGTTGTTGTACTGGCGTGTGTGTGTGACAGCCCTTCTGGGAAAAGCTTTGCGAGTGTGTGTATATCGCCTAAGAACTAAAGGTGTCACAGTCTGTTTCACATGCAGGCCATGAGTGTGTACTCTGCTGCTAGACTGAAAGTTGTTTATGTCCCCAAATGTGACATGTGATCAGATCACTTAGGACGCATGTTAATGCCAGGTGTGAACAGAGCCCAAGTGGACAGCTTTAAGCACGTCAGTTCACACCTGGCATAAGAATCAGTCTTCACGTGCGTCTTGAGTGACCACCTGTGACTGGATCTCACTTCCCCACAAATAAACACATACATCATTTCAGTTTGCACCTCTGAATGTGGTCTGGAGTGATAGGACCTCAGTGCGTCCTGGGTGCATTCACACCAGTACTTGGAGCTGTCCACTTGTGACTGGATCGACCAAGATGAATGTTAATGTCATGTGTGAACAGGGTCCCATAATGCACAGCCAAATTCTTGTGAATAATGGAGGAAGAAAAATAGGAGATGGAGGGTACAAACTGTGAGAGAGGGATTCTTTATGAATGCTTGTGAGCACATGTATCTGTTCTGACATGCTGGGAGTAATCAGTGTCCTTTGATAGGGTGAGATGTAAGCATCAAGGGCTCTTGGTGCTCCAATGAATTTGCACAATGATCCACACTCACGGGTGTGTGGCCTCTTTATCAGCAGATACACACACACGGGTATGCGCACACGCAGAATCAACTTGGGTGGGTATATTTGATCATCGTCAGTCATAACGTCATTCAGCTAAGATGATTAAATTAAACAAGTAAATAAACAACTCTACTGTGGGGTTGATAGCATCACAGCATCTCAATGGAGCAGCACCCAGCTGACAGGGAGATGAAAGGAGCCTCAGTCCAGGCCATTTCTGCATGGCTTCAACTCAGCAATAAGTCCTTTTGTACTTCTTGGTCAAGCTCCCAGTACCTCTGTGCTGCTTTGATAAAGAAATGTTTACAAAATGCAACAAGACTAGGGAGATGAATGCTGTGGATGACAGAGATCAGAACAGAGAGGCATGTTGGGACTTCACGCCACTCCAATTTCATCACATAATCACAAGAGGATTAATCAAACTCACTGTACATGTGTCTGTGTGTGTGTGGCTGTGTTATGTATGTGATTGTGCTCTTGTTCCACCTTGGCAAGCGACAAGCAGCAACACAGCGGCGCTGAGGTTTTAATCACCTGCCCTTTCTCAAGATGGACGTCTTGGTTGTGTTGAAGGTGAATGTCATGTTACAGCTGGCGTGCCATCCCTTGCCCACCGGCACACAGGTGCGGGCTTTAGAGCGGGTATTAAAATGTAGTGGACGGACAGCTGAGGGGAACATTGTGCAAGAGAGAAACAGATCGTATCTCCTGTTTTTGTAAATAACTGTGTTCCGACCTCAGAGATGCAAAGTGCATTAGAACACACAATTAAATGCTTTTGTGTGCGAGAGAGAGCTGGCTTGCATAAAAATGGACAAATATGGAAGAAAATAAGTCTTGTAGTTGGGCAGTGGAGTTTATAATAACCAGCTGTTAATGAATAATGTCTGAGAGAGAGATGTTCCTGAAGAGAAATATGAAGCACATGAAGAGGCTCCAGATACGGGTTTGAAAGCTGCTGCCCGCTGGGGGCCTTTCTGTGTGGAGTTCACATGTTCTCCCAGGGCCTGCGTTTGTTTTTGTTTTTTCTGGGTGCTCCGCTTTCCTAAGGCATGTAGGATATTTGCAGGACAATTCAATAGGGTAGGACTGGTGAATTGCCTGTGTGTGTCAATCGTTGTTTGTCTATATGTGTTAGCTGTGAGACGGGCAGGTGACCTGTCTCGGGTGTATTCTGCATCTCAGCCAGTGCAAGCTAGGATAGACTGTATGGCCTTCTGCAACAGGATATGCAGGTTAGAGAAAGGATGAATGGATATCTATTATTTCTTATGTTTACAGGAACAAACTCTTTTTCTTTCCCTTAATGTGACATTAGATTTGCTCTGCAATCCACAATGGATCAAAGGTGTCCTGAAACACTGCATTATTCTGGAATAATGATCAAGTCTTCTATAGGAGGTCTACTTTAGCTGCAGAAAGAACAAGATGCAGAGCAACATCACCAAGACAAGCAAAAGAAAAAGTAAGGAAATGTTAAAGTTAAAGTTAAAAGCTGTGGAGGTTTAAAGGAATAATTCAGCAGATTGGGAAATACGCCTGTTTACTTTCTCAGAGAGAAGATGAAAAGGTTGACACCACCTCTTTTCCACAGCAGACATTTTGGCTTCTAATAGTCAGAGAAGCACAAGGGTTACTCATAACATTAACCATGACTCTGTTCTTTCCTCAATGTGCAGCCATCTTTGCACAGATAGAACCTCTCTGTATATGTTAAAGCTCTTTCTAGCCATTTTGAGTACTAGAGGTTTTTTTTACCTTCTCATAGCGCGTCTCCATGCAGAGGAAGATGATGTAAGCAGTTGCACAAGCCAGACATCCTTCCAGGTACGACTGACCTCCAATTTTTTCAGCCTCCGCATAATAAGAGTTCAGGGTCTTCACCGTCTCCTCAAGCAAGGTCCGCTCAATCTACTTACAGACACAAACAGGCATCCAGGTAGAGATATGAAGGCACACACAGACACACACACACACATACACACACACAGCATAAGGACTGCGAAAGTGAAATGTGTTCTGGCGTGACTGTTGGAGCAAGCTGTTCAGCTATAAAACAGCCTGCCAAAAACAAAGCAGCTGCATTCTGCTCAACCCAAAATACCCTTACTTTGTCAAACTATTTAGAAACACACTTCACTTGCAGAATAGCACACTTGAGGCTAAAATGACAAATTTGTCAGAAGTGTGACAGCAATGAGTGGTGATTTGAACATCTGATTTGACACAGATTTTTTTTTTTTAAAAAAGGAAAAAAAGACTCCCACTCTTTTTCTCTGTTTTTCTCTGTTTCTCTCTTGCTCTCTCTGTGTGGACTATCTGCTTCAGATGCTAAATGCTAAATAAATCTACAATAGCACCCCTGCATGGCACCACTCACAGATCCTAATGCAGCACATCCGCACCTCAAATAAACAGCACATTCTCTCCTTGTGTCAAATAAAAGCATTAGAGTGTCTTCTTCTTTGGTTTTATCTTTCTTATAAGCACACACAATAGAGTTTTAATATAGTTGTGTCACTTTTATTCTGGTTTTGTCTGTTGAGTTAGACCTCCAGGATATTAGAGGCCATAATGTGGAAAGGGGTGGATGGGGATTCTTGTAATATCATCGTACTTTTTCATGGTGCATAATGTTTGGATTTCAGACATTAGGATTAACATTGCAGGATTAGTTGCTCTGCTCCGTTTAGAAAGTCTCCTCTCTGTACACGTGTTAGTGTATGACTGTGTACTTACACGTTTGAGTCAAGGCACGAGATAATGTCCATCATTCATCAAGTGTTATGTCATCCAGGATGCACCGTTGTAGTGACCTGATTAAGCTTTATTGAGCCATCACTCTCTTCATATTGGAGAGTGTGGGTGTTATTTCAGGAGAGTTGGGATTTTGCCAACATATTACAATTATTACAAAATATTTGCCTGGATGTGTGTACAGTACTGTATGTGAGTGTGTTTGTATTTGTGCTCACCCTGTTGTCAAGCTCTGAGGGGAACTTGGTCAGGAAGCGGCACACGGTTCCTTCGCTGTAGTCTCTCTGTATAAACACCTTTGTTACCAGTGATGCACTGTGCCTCAGCTCCTGCAGGTTATGGAACTAACAACAGGAGAAAAACACACGCGTTAAGTTTGTTACCCAAAATACATTTTACATTCATGTAGGAACAAGAGAAGCAGGTCTGTCTTTGCTTTTTAAAATGTGTTCTGTAGAACCGGTGATACACTGTGGTTCCAGTCTGACCAGCATTCCCCTGACTGCTATGTTCACTTTGGCAAAAGATGGCGGTGATTTACTGCACGGTATATAAAGATCCACTTGTCTACAGTAGCTCTCAATAACACGGTCTGTACAATAGTTATATAAAGTAATGTAATATTTCCTGCAAGTTTTCAGTTGTTTTTCTGCCTACAGGTGCAACATGGCTACACAGTGAGAAAATGGTACTATGTTACTATGTCAACAGCAGTACAGACAGGAGTTAGCACTCCCATGCATTTCTCCTATATCATTAGGCCCAATTGCAGTAATAACCAACCATTGGAAAGACTCCCCTTTACAGCACTTCAGTGCTGAGTGGTGTGTTTTACACCCAAACAGGCATTCCCCAGAGAAGCATAGAGCAGCGAGCAAGTGGGCCAGTGTAAACTTGTCCCCTGCTGATCTAAATTACTCCCCTCAAGAGGATGGTAATTAGAGATAGAGTAGGAGCATGGAGGGAGGAGGGTGGGGGGTGGGGACGAACATAAACCGGGTGAGAAAAGAGAGTGAGAGACCAAGAATGAGGCACAAAATATGTTCAACATTTGTTCACTTGTTGCCTTTTTTGTTGACATTCAAATTTTATTCTCTGGATTTCACAGTCAAAGTTTGGCTTGCTGGTGCAGAGTTGTCATTACTGAAAGCAGCCTGAGTCTCTGTTTATGAGGTTACCTGCATGTATGAACCCAAGGGATTCATTTCCATGTAAGCAGACATAGCACAGTGCCAGCCTTTCATCTCTATATAGGGTATATCATTCACAACCAAGAATAACATCCAAGCTGCTATTTTTGTCAGCTAACAGCCAAAATCATCTCACAGCCACTAGATCTTTCTGTCTGCCAGAGCTTTTAATATCCTCCTTTTCGCCTTCTCTGTCTCTCTAACACCATCCTCCCCCTCCCTGCGCTATCTTCGGGCCATCGTGATGAACAACAAGTCACTCTATTAATAGAAGCAATTATCAGCACACGATTGAGCATCATTTATTCAAGTTACAATCAGTTGGCCGACATTAAAGTTTATTAGGATTATGCAGATTTTTTGTGTGCAATTGTGAAAATGTGTGTGTGTGTGTACTGTAAATGGTATAGAAGTTTTACTTGAGTAGGTTAAACTTGTTTATTTCAAACAAATATTAGCATGAATAACAAAACCCTGCCCAAGACCGAAGGACATGTAGAGAACATCAGAGCTGTTTTAGTTGACAGAGGTTCCATCTGAGTGAAACTCATCAGCTTATCTTCCACTGTCACATGCACTGCATTCAGGCAACCCATAAAACACCAATTTAATTGCATAATCTCATTGACGAGGATATGCTGTTAATTTATGTACTTGGCAAGTTGCAAATATGTTGATAATGAATGTATCAGTAAAATGCTCACAAACAACTTTTTTAGTTTTCTGCCAAATTATCAGATCCTGCTGTAAAATATCCACTTGTAGTGACTACAGCATTATTAAGTGTTTTATTGTTATGTTTGGACATTCAGGGAACTTGGTTTAGGTTAGGGAAAGATTGTGGTCTTGTTTAATACAGAACAAGTTCACAACAACTTTTCACAGTTACCATAGACAGTGCTATTGATGTGAACCTGGTCTCTGGTGTGATTGTCATGCACTTTTTACATCCACCATCCATCCCAACCACCTCCTGGTGACTCGACTGCTGTTAATAAATGCAGCACTTCATTCGTTCAGGAAAACAAAAAACAACAACTAAAAAGAAAAAAACATCTCTGAACATAATCCATTACATTTCCAGTTTAGTGGTATATGAATGTAATTTTGAGGAGACAGGGCTGATTCAGGCCAGTGGGACGTTGTGGTATATTGTGCCTTGCTGTTGAACTACTGATCTCTGCCTTACATCTCTACATGTACCTTGCAGCTGAGCAAAGGAGGCAGTGTGGAAAAGGCCAGCACACTCTCTCAGTCATGTCTCTCTGAGGTCAACAGTGAAGCACAGAGTCCATTTATCTCACCCCCCCCCCTTCTCCTCTGATTTCTATGAACTTGGAAAGCTATGTTCCAGACTGTAAATCTGTTTGGGCCTAATGTGGATGTCATGGTTAAAGGTCAAAACTTTTACATCTGACTCTAAGGTGCTGTATTGTAACCCTGCTCCATTATTTGAACAATGTAACATGTTTCCCCCTTTTTAACCTGTCTGTGTTAAGGAGATTTCATGCCAACAAGGGTTGCGTAACCTGTGTCAGGTCTGTACGATATCAATTTGAGGCACGTCAGATTTTGCTATCAATGTGTCATGTGTTACAATGTAAATGGAAAAATTTGAGAAGAACCTTTGCGGAGCTGTTTTAAAAATGTAGCTCCTTCTTTCCCAGAGTTTAATTTAGTCTCCACTGTTTTGGTTTGTGTTTGCATGAGTGTATTATTTTCCCTAAACTTGATCAAAAATGGTGTATCCTGTATCATCATGCCATATTCTGATCGGTATTACACATTACATTTACATATTGACCAGGACTAGTTTAATAATGCTAGGGCATTGTGTCTTGCTTATGAATTGCCAGGGGGAGGAGAGAACTGTCTTGTTTTACATTCCTACATCAGTTGATTACTTCTTAGCAGCGGCAACCCCTTTCTCCAACCTCTCCCTGGAAGCTTGTAGCCCTCACACAAGTTACTTAGAACTGGCCAAGTCCTCCGAGTCCTCTAAAGCCCTGCTTTGATAGTAGATGACTTCATAAAATATTTCTTAAGTCACGTGGTGTTGGTGTTACTGGCTGAGTGGCCTTGTCTGTGTCCATTTAAGCCTTGAAGACAAATGTTTGCTGTTGGCAGAGTGCTGATGTTTACTTTCCTGCGTGGGAGATCAGGGTTCAAATACAGTCTATTCCTTTGTCTAAATATAGTACACAAGCAGACAGCAATGTTAAAGTGTCACGCTGATCACACAGGACTCTATTAAGAGTCTCCGCGTCACGCTGCACTGTCTGACTTCTCCTTCCACCCACACATCTATTACTTTTAGTTAAGCTTAGATTTGTTTGCATATTGACTAAACGCAGAAACTAAATAAACAAACTGAAAATAAGTTACATAAGTAAGACTTATCACCAGCTAAGAGGCTCATAAAAAAAGACTGCACCAAGCAAATGAAAGATAAAAACAAATGCACCACACAGCCAGGACATTAAACACATAAATCTAATTCTAACTGTAGAGTTCTTAAACTGTAAATCCACATAGATCTTTTGCTACCACTTAATATGGCATAGTATGGGTTCAACCTACGCAGTCCGTTCAAAAGTTTTGTCATGAAGGATTTTCCTAGGGAAATTCCACTGGAGCATAAAAAAATTATGCATTTCACATTTCATGACTGGAAATAGCCACTGTCTGGGTAGACAAATAAAAGGCAAGGAACCAATCTACTCTACAGCAATTTAAACCAAAAGTAAAAGAATACACGTAATGCATCAATGACCTCTCATGACCAAGGATGTTGCTACAATGAAAAGAATGACCATTTAAAAAATAAAAAAAAGTATTTTCTTTGTCGCTCCCTTTTATCCCTACTCTGATACCCTCGGCCTATCTATTTCCTCCAGCTTGGATCTGTGGGTCTGTGTGATTCTCATTGCCATGACATGTTTCCTCGTTTAGTCACTCTGACTCAAGGAACACACAGCGACAGCATGGGTGAGTGCTGCCAGTGGGCATGCATTGCAAAGGGCACACACACACACACACACACACACAATTACAGCTAGCACAGTAAATGCACTCAGACTTCAACGTTTCATTCTCGTCTCGTAGCTCTTTCAGCATTTTTCTTACTGTCAGCTCTCTCTTTTCATCCCTTCTGAATATAACTGGTTTCTTGCCACTGGGAGCAAAATTTTTCATGTTTACTGCCAAGTTGGGCTAGCCAGAGGTCTATAAATCATTGACGTTTAGACAGTGTTGACAAAACAGTCTAATTTCCATGACATCTAGGTGGAAGATCAGTGACTGTGGGACCAAAGCTGGAAGAGGAAATCTTTTTTGGGAGAAGGTGGAACATTGTTTCAGTAGAGAGCTGAGTGACTGCCAGCCTCTGAGATGATTACTGTGCTTCGACACATTATTCCTCAACAGGGTGAGACTCGAGCCAGGGATAGCCTACAGACTGAGAAGAGGATCTGGCAGAAGTGGACTTAATGGATCCAGAGACCGTCCATGCAGCACAAACAGTCTGCACCATGAGCTGACTGTTCCTCAGTCACTTAATGTGGTCATTTGCTGACTTGGAATACAGTAAATGTCATAGAATGAGCTCTGATATAAAATGAATGAGAGAGAGAGAGAGAGAGAGTGAGTGAGAGAGAGATGGGTAAAAGCATGGATAGAAAATAAAGTATGCTTCTCATCTCAGACTCCAATCACTGATGGTTACAAACTGCAGCAGCCTGTTCACATTAAATATGCCATGGATAATTGATGGGCCTTGGACATGAAGTCTGTCCCAGTTCCACACGATGTATGTGTTTGTGTGCATGCATGTGTATGGGTGCACATGTAATTAATGGGGCTTGGACAGGGATACTTGCAGACCAACAGAGGGAATCAAGGCCACTCTGCCAATGTCTTGCAGGCTCGGAAAAAAAACCCAAAACATCATCATCATGAATCCTGCTCAGCAATGTCCACTGCACCTTTACCTGCAGCATCATTACACACGAATCACAGCGTCACTCACTCCTAAATTGAACACTTTCAGGTACAACTAGCGCCCAGACACCTATGAACACACACATATAAACTTATATGCAGGCACATATTGCATGCATGAGTGTCCCAGAGTTGCACCAAAGTAACAGTTGTCTCCTCTAGTGAGATCATTGTTATGATAACTAAGGCAGCTTTGTCTTCAACGTTGTGGTGACATCACCAAGGACACAAAGGGGTGTGAGAGGAAGCTGCTGGCCTGAGAGCCACCAGGCATCACTGGGGCTAAAAATACAACTGCAAGTGCTGTTGATGCTGTTTGGAGAAACTAGTTGTACAATGTGAACACTAATAGAATAATACAATTTCTGTCATGGGTTCTCCACATCTTCCATTTAGTGCTGGTTCGAGTTGCCAATCATGTTAACTACATTTATTACAGGGATGAAGGGAGTGTGACACCAGGGAGCTGGGTGTGCAAAGCTGATTCAATATGTGGCTCATTTGAAATGCAAGGACAAAGCCTTGTCAAGCTAATTTAAAAGTGTGTCAGAAGGAAAGACAGAGAGAGACTGTCCCTGTCCATGGTCCTGACTGCTCCATCACCACCATCATAATCATCATCATCATCATCATCATCATCACTCACTAGTCTCTTGGATACTGGATAGGCTTTACAGTATAGTCTCTGGTGACATTGGTTTCTGCTTCTTATATCTGACATTACATGAAAAAACTATGTATTCATGGTAAAAAACAGAAGGAAAAAACTGCAGTTCTCCCAGTGAAGATATCTGTCTACAATCACAGAGCCCATAGGGATGAATAGTGATGGAATAAGTGAAATTGAAGCCCCAGGATGAAAGATGTTTTCTCGCGTGAGCGTTACATGACTCTCAAATTCATAATAATAAGTCTAGTCCTGTCGGCTGATTTGACTGAATCAAGGCGACATTCACCCGAACCACGATAAGCCACAGAAATCGGAAGCACAACAAGCAAAGACATCCAGTCCATAACACCGCATTTCTCATCCTGCACTTCTTGGAAAAAAAAACAAAAAACAAATGGTAGGAACAGAGTCGTTTTTTCGGGTTTTGTTCATAAAAATACTAAAAGAAAATGCAGCGAGAGAGCCGAATTTCTTACCTCTGTCGCCATATTGCAGTAAGAGGGTGTAGGATCTGTCCCGTGCTGAAAACCGTTTGCTCGTGATGTGTGGGACAACGCGACTGTAGAGCTTGGCACAGGAGTGATTGGACACACGAGCGCGCGTGCACGTGCGTGCGAGTGCGTGACTGCGCTCGCGCCTGCCAGGGTTACCGCGGGATGGTGAGGGGGTATGCTAATTACATGTGAATTTCTAATAATGCATAAACCGAGAATAATTTGCTCTCCTAGTCAGTCCTCAAGGGCAGACTTTCAAAACGCAAATGAGTTATTTCCACGGTAACTATCCAAGGTTTATGTAGGTTGCGGTTTCTTTTTTGTGCCCCCCTTTTTTGTGGGCTATTAAAATTTTTATTGATTATCAATAATTCAAATAAAGTGCCTTGGTTTCCGGTTCCATTTGCAACCATTCCGGACCAAGCACCACAACAACAACAACAACAACAACAACAACAACAACAACAACAACAACAACAACAACAACTCCCATTTCTTCACTAAAATGCAAGAGATGAATACCAGTTTTTTTTTAAGCTTATGTCTAAACAGACATAGAAATAATCAAATGTTCTGTTCATGTACAGAATTTCTGTAAAGTATATATACATTTTGAGCTCCAAGGCACTTTATCAGTGCCTTTATAACTTTTGTAAGAGTATTGTCAAAGCCAAACTCTATATTTCTATTACAGTAGTGTAGCACTGATACCCTTAAGGTTAGATCATTATTAAGTCACCAGTGAGTGACAAAGGGAACCTCCAAGGGGATTTTACACTGAATTACTTACTTTGTACTTTGTAAAGTGCCTTAAGATAATGTAGCCTATATGTTATGATTTGGTGTTATATGAATAAAATTGAATTGAACTGAATTGAATTTATTGGGAATCCCTTGTTCCTGCCAGCATGCAGAGAGGCTCTGGTTTATTCTAATTTAAGCCTGTTCTCATATTTAGGCAATGCTCTATATAGTTATAGTAGATGCTTACTGTTGCTGACACTGCTGTCCTTTTGAAGCTGGTTGGTTCTGGTGCAAAGCGGTCATGACCCAGTGACTCATACTGTAGCCCATATGTTTAATGGACCACTAGAAAGTGCTCATATTAAACATTTATAAGAGCCCACTTGGATGTACTATATTGCCACTTTTTTTCCTCTCAAGAATAGCAAATTCTTCCAATCCATGAACAGGTCAAGGTTTGAATTTTTTACTAGGTTTATTTAAAATTCAAAAATATGACTATAAATGTGGCAGCCAGATAAAAGCTCATGTTTTTGTGTTCTTGACACACCCCAGGGAAAGGAAAATGTTTTTGATTAGATAAAAAGCACTTGGATGAAAGATACTGGGTGGCAGCACTTTGATGAGGCTATTTTTGGTAAAAAAAAACATTTTTGTTTTTTTTCTTGTGTGAAATCACGAGTCATGACATGTGCTGAAATTAGTCACTTTCTCGTGTCACTAGACTACATATTCCACTGAGGTATGCTTAGATCCCAGGTTAGGTGGAGACACTCAAATGCACACACAGCCATGCAAACACACACAAACATATTCACAAGGACACAACAGCATCCAGCTCTTATGAATGGAAACAGAATCTAAAAATAAGATGGAGGAGCTTAAACAAAATGAAAATTATGCAGAACTAATATTATTTGCCAGGATCCTGCTGCTTGCTCCAGATTGCTTGAAAAGATGCGTATCTAATCACACACTGGCACAGATTCCTTTGGGCTGCATACATTTAAATTCACATTCACATGTTTTTCTATGCATATGAATCTGTGTGAGTGTGTGATTTCCCCATTCAGCATCCTTTAGTGTATTTTCTCCTCAAGGCTTTCAGTCACACATACACACATACAGTACACACTCTACACATCACATAAACCCTAGCTTAAGGAATCTATTAGGCGGAGGGACTATAACTCATTGTTAGTGTTCATTATACTATACTGTATGTGTATAATGTGTGGGAAGTGGAACTCAACACAATGATACTAGATGTTTCTAGCAGTGATATGATGCTCATTAGATACCAGAAAACAAGACTTCTGTATGGATGCTAAACAGTTAGCTGAGATTCTTACCAGCAGTGTGGCAAAAAAAACAAATAAATTAAAAAAATTAGGTCCTACAAAAAAAGCATTTCCTTCCAAAGACACCAATATGAATTGGTGTTTCTGATCTGATCTTTGGTCAGTGCCTTCCAAAAACAGTAAAAATGGTTGTTCCAAAAATATTTAAAGCTCTAATATCTTATTCTTTTCCAGTGTTTTATTTGAAGCTTTGATATCATATCCATAAGAAGATATATTTGTGGTTTTAGGTACCAAAAACAATCTCAGTGTAGTTTTACATCTTCTCTCTAAAGCTTCTCTCTGGAGCTTTAGTAACAACAGGTTGGTCCTCTTTTCTGATTGTCTGATTGTTTTCTGAGTGATGCACCGCCAGGCCATCTGCGGGTAACGGATTGTAGCTTACTAGTGCAGCTTGGTAAAACTCACCGGTAGAAATGCACATGGTGATGATCAATCAGACTGAAGTGAGTTGAACAGACTGTGAAATTCAGATGACGGCTCGTTTTATGGCACAGTTTCTGAATACCGGCAGTGTGCAGTTCTCTGTGGATTGAGCATTTTGATACTTTCACAGGACTTATATAGCACCTAGACCTGCTTTATAATGACATGGAAATCTCAGTTTTCTACAATGCAGGACATTTAATATGAGCATTTTCTGATCTGTCACCACTTGGTTAGGTTTAGACACAAAAACTGTTTGGTTAGGGAGAGGAAAAGACCACGGTTTGGATTAAAGAAAAAAACACCTGGTTAAGGTTTGGCAAGGATTGTAGTCATACAAAGAAACCAATGTTGACTGGAAACTGGGAAATACAGTGATCTCCCATATTGAAGTGACTCACTAAGTCGACCCATCTGTTCACAATGCAAGTTCCTGCATGCAAGATTTTGCTGGGATATGATGTCATACTTACACCATTGCTACTCACAGACAAGAATCATAATTCACGTGGCTAATAGACACCCTTGTCAGGTAAACATATGTCACAGTCGTTTGAACAAAAAATTATATTGTTTTTATATTCTTTGTAGAACATGGTATGACTTTAGCCTTAGCTGTACTGAGGCTTAGCTTATTAACACACCGACATCAAACAGTTACCTTACTTTTTAACAGCTGGATGTTAATGTGTGAGCCTTTTGTTAACATGCCTCGGGTTGGCATGGTAACATGCTCCAGCTCAGCATGTGATCATGCTTATGTTTGCATTTTGGCATGCTATGTTAGCAGTTATCTCAAAAGTAGCTGAAACTGACATGAGCGCAACCATTACTTCTCCCTGTCATCAACTGATGAAAACTAATATTTCACAGTGAAGCAAGTACACTGACATCAGAAAGAAGTATATTATAGGTCAGTGGTATAAGCAGCTGGGGTCTGCGGTGAAGTTGTAGCACACAGTTCTGTGTCAGCTAGTTACTGCGTGTGTAGGGTTGTCACAGATATTTATATTTGGTTTCAAGATTGACACAGAAATGTTTATTTAGTTATACGTTGACTGAGATAGGAAAGATATTGGGACTTGGTTTTGTGTTGATTGTCCTCTGGGTTTCCAGCGGATGTAAACCCACTGAGGAAAATTACTGGGTTGTTACATTCTAACTTCCATCATGGCTGAACATACGCATTCCTATTCATATTGAGAACGTTATGAAAGAAGATGCCTTCATATTACATCTCAGTCTGGTCTTCCAGTGTGTCTGAATCTGCACTTCAGCAGAAAATAATAACTTTGCCGCAGCCTTAAATTATCATAATGACCCATAGCATGGTGTACACACACACACACACACACACGCACACACGCACACACACACACGCACACACGCACACACACACACGCGCACACACACGCGCACACACACACGCACACACACACACGCACACACACACACACAGCCTTTTTCACATTTCATATTTCACATGAAACATTTATTCCAGCAAAATATTCTTGGTTTCCACTTCACTCCGAAACCGCCAGTTTGTATTTGAAACCTGCGCTGTGAAATGTTGTCGATGGTGATTCTGACCAATGCGATGAAAAGAAAAAAAGAACTAAAGAAAACACCAAATATTACTGTGGTTTCTTAGCTCTCATGTCCTCAGACTTGCAGAGTTAACGTAGCATTAAGCACTTTGTCAGGGTGTCTTGGTTAATGTGGTTTTGACTTGTCAGATTAATCAAATCATCACCTGCGCTGTGGCATAGTGTCCACCTGACCAGTTCTTACACTTAATAAAACATTTTGTTTGATTTTATTATTGCTACGAACAAAAATAAAAATGATAACTTCTATGGTATCATTGATAACTATTTGCATTTTTCTGAGCCTTTGAATAAAGACAGATCCTCATAAATCAAACAACCAAAAAAGGTTTTAAAAATATTTGTTTCAATAAAACCTTTTATGTATTTCAGGACTTTGGTTTGAGTTTCTATGAATAAATCCACATGAGCCCATAAATACATTATTACATTCCTGTTCACTGTCAGTAACAGTTTTGTTGTAGCTGTTTGTGACCACGGCAAACGACAGATCCCAGACTTCGTGGCCCTTTACAATGAACAGAGTGGAGACATTGGGAGAGTTGGTGGTCACCCACAGTTTGAATGACCCTGCGACTACAGTATGTAATGCATGTGAATGCGTGTGCATGCGTGCCCCTTAATGTTTGTGTACGTCTGCGTTCGTTCATGTGTGTGGAAAAAGGTGACGTTTTGGATCGGATATTCAAAATTCATGAATTGTGATCTCTGACATTCCCACACAATAGCAGAAATCTGTTTATTTGTGTGTTTGGTTGTTGTCATGACAAGTTTTGTCTTCATTTGTGGCATTGTGTGCGTGCGTGTATGTGTGTGTGTGTGTGTGTGTGTGTGTGTGTGTGTGTGTGTGTGTGTGTGTGTGACTGGGCTGTCCTGGAATGCTGACCTGTCCCCCTTCTTGGCAG